CACTCACCACAGGACCTTGCAGGTGGGAGCCGGCACCACGCCCCCTCGCCCTCCAGGCTGGGGTGGGCGTGCGCACCGCAGCTGACAGGGTCTTGTTGCTTTCTCCCTGCTACGCGCCGTGACCCCTGCCCACGGCTGGGCGACGCTCAGTGGACGCTGCCCCGTCCCAGCTGCCCGGGCATGGAGCCCCCGGGACGGGAAGCAGCTTCCCTGCTGGACCCTGGGCCCCAGGGCGCCCGATGCCCACAGGAAGCGGCCAAACCCAGCTGCTGCTTGCGTTCGGACGGAGTGGGGAGCTGAGGACGGGTTTGGGTTTGAAACAGCTGGGGGGACCCCGGTGACCACCTGTGTGGGGCTCTCGGCTTCCTCGGCGAGGGTGGCCATGGGGCTGAGGGCAGGATCAGGGAGTCGGAGGGCGCGCTGTGGGCTGTCCCAGCCATGCGGCTCCGCCCTGGGCCTGTGCAGCCTGTGTCCTGGGGTGGGTGCGCGGGGGGCAGCCATGGACAGGGATCAGGTGGCAGCCAGGGAGCCGAAGGTTGCAGCCCGGCTCTTCTGTAGGAGGTGCAGAGAAACGTGGAAGCACGTGAGACTCCCCACAGGAGCTGCTTGGAGCTGCCGCAGGGTGGGGCCCGGGCCAGGCACCAACTCCCAGCAAATGCCCAGAACATCCAGGAACAGCTGGACTTGCCTGGCAGGACCTTGGCCGTGGCACTTGGGATTCAGGATGTCTGCTTCCCCGTGTTTCCGGGACTTCCAGGAGCTGTCTCTCCTGGGGGGTCCACTCGCCACCCACACAGGCAGAACTCGGCCGAGAGAGAGACGGCACGGTCCCCCGGAAGGGGGGGGGGGGGCACGAGACGGCGGCCTGGCTGCAGGACCCAGTTCCCTGCCCGACTCTGCCCCTGCAGTCCCACCACGATGCAGCCCCCACAGCCACTCCCGGACTTGCACCCGGGAACAGGGCGCGCCAGGCTGCTCCGCTCCGGCTCTCCGCGGTGCTGGCCGCTGCGGGGGGTGAGTCCCCGCCTCCCCGCTCCTGGTGCCCAGGCCAGATCTCTCTTAACAACTCCCTGCACCTGCTCTGCACCTGGCGTGGTGGACTCCGGGGCACCTGCCACACGCGCCCTGCACCGGAGAGCGCACCGGGCAGCTGGGGACACCCACAGGGGACCAGCAGGGGCGGCCTGGACATTCAGAACTGCCCAGTGCCAGCCCAGCTGCACAGTTCCACCCCAGTCCTGTGCCGTCTGTGGGTCCCACGAGCCTGAGGCGGGTCGCTGGACTCCACCCCAGTCCTGTGCCGTCTGTGGGTCCCACGAGCCTGGAGGCGGGTCGCTGGACTCCACCCCAGTCCTGTGCCGTCTGTGGGTCCCACGAGCCTGGAGGCGGGTCGCTGGACCCCACAGAGCCCCTCGCCAGCGCTGGCCTCAGGGCGTCCTCTGGCCTTCCAAGGATCAGTTGCATCATCTGCAAAGAGGCGGAGTCGCTCCCGGTTCACGCAGAGAGTGGCGTCTACAAACAGGAGGGGGCACTGGGCACCCCAACACAGGGCTCCCCTCCCCCGCCTCCCACAGTCCTGTCTGAGCTTCCGAATAAAAACGTTGCAGCTGCCCGGCCGTGCCCTGCAGCCGGCCAGAGCACCTGTGGGGCCCCGGGCCTGGGCTGGGCTGGGCTGGCCCCGACCGCCATTTCCAAGGAGGCAGCTGGCTGGGATCGGCCTGACCCCTGCCTCCCCAGGGCCCTGCCCCACGGACCTGGCCGACCCCGAGGCCCCGCCCTTGGGAGGCCCCGTGGGCCCTGAGGATCTTTCCTGCTGGCTTAGCGGCCACTCCTCCCGAAAGCAAGGCCAGCCCGCCCTCTAGTGGCAGTCGGCTGCCATACAAATGCTCACAGGTGCACATGCACACACATATACCTATGTGCATAGACACACACGCAACATACATGTACGTGCATACTTACAGACATGTGTACACACATGTAAGTATGCATGCACGTGTGTGCATAAAGGCACATGTGCATGCGTGTGCGTGTGTATACACTCGTGTGCATCATCACGCACATGCAAGCATGCTATATGCACACTCAAACACGCAGACACGGGTGTGCACGCATGCGCGCACCTACACACACATGAACACACACTGCACACGTGTTCCTGTGTTCCTATCCCCTCCGGTGCATTCTGTGTGCAGCAGCCAGGTTGGCCCCGTGTCCAGGCCTCGGCTCCACGGCTGAGGCCAGGAGGACTGGGAGGGTGAGGTCGGGCAGTGTAGACGACACGGCGGTGCCCCTGGGGGCCAGCCCTAAGGCTCTCTTCCCTCTCTGCCACGCCTGTGTCACTCGTGGCTTCAGTCTGGCCCCTTCTGTCAGGGCCACGAGGCAGAGGGGACAGGGGACGGCCGCGTGCACAAGGACACAGAGCAGAGCCGAGACCTGTCCCAAGGGAGGGGCTGCCGGGGGCCCTGAGGAGGAGAAGCCCAGCCCGGTGGAGCCCAGGCCACTCCGCCGGCCAGTTCTGGAAAAGGCCACCGTGATGTCCACGTCTGTCCCAGGAGCGGAGGAAACCCCTGGACGCTCCCACGCGAGGCCACGGCCACCCCCTCAGGCAGCCTGCTCACTGCACTCGGGGGGCAGGGCCAGGTGGCCGTGGCCAGCGCCCGGGCACACGACGGCTTGTGCAGTGCTGCTGCGCTTGGCAGCTGGACGCAGGAGATGCCACGCTCGGAGCTCACACACCCTCGCCAGGTCGCCCGGTGCCTGGCGCCGGGATGGGCATCCAGCCTGGCCCCCGTGGCACCGTCCCCAGGGTCTCAGCAGCACCCAGCAGGAGGCAGAGCCACAGCTCAGAGCAGCAGCACTGCAGAGCGAGCGCCTGCGGGCCACGGGCGAAGGGGGAAGCGGCCACGGACAGAAGCTGTCAGGGACGGAGAGGGTGGTCTCTGCTCTGATGACAGGAGGGTCAGGATCCTGAGACAGACGCCGGGGAGAAGCACTCTGGGCCACGGGCAGGGCCCTGACGCTCAAGGCCACGGGCATGCTGCACGTGTGAACACACGCCTGCCACACGTGGAAGACCAGTTCCAAGCGTGCCGTATCCGGGGCGGCTGGGCAATGGTGGGGGGAGCCATCGTGCTAGGTGAGGGAGCCGGGACGCCTGGGCCTTCCAGGAGGGCCAGGCCTGGCTGAGGAGGGCAGGACGTGGCTCTGGGGTCAAGCGGCCAGTCAGCGTTTGCTGAGTGACTGTAAGAGCGTGAATCGAGCATGGCAGGGCGGAGGGGAGGGGAGGGGAGGGGAGACGCTGGTGCTGAGGGAGGGGTGGGGCAGCGCGAGCTGCAGGCCACGGCCGAGTCACGTCCCGGGCAGCACCCAGGCCTGCAGACCTGGCCCTGCCGCACCGCTCTGCCCACGCGGGCATCCCCTGCGGGGCCGACTGCCGCCCTCCTGCCTCTCCCTGGGCCATCAGTGCACAGGTCCCGGCTGTGTCCTGCCCCTCCGGGCAGCTCCTCTTCCCAAGCCCCGGACTAGCAGCAGGGTCGCGGGAGGAGACCTGAGGGCAGGAGGCAGGCTCCACCCACAGCCACGGTCACGAGGGTCTGGGTGGGACACAGCGGGGACCCCAGGCCCCCTCCCACCCTGGTGCCGGAGCCTGCCTGCCCACCTCCAGCTCCACGTGTCTTCCACTCCCAGCCCCGAACGCACCTGCCAGCTCTGCCTTGGGCCCACCCTGCTGCCTCCTCTTCCCTGAAGCCTCCCCGGGTGTCCCCAGCCCCCTCCTTCCCTGGCCTCACTCTGGGGCCCATCTAGGACACCCCCAGCTGCCTGCCTGACACTGGAGCCCCAGATGGACAAGTGACCCATGAAGGGGCTGTGGGCCGTGGGGTTTCTGACACAGCCTCCACGGGCAAGGAGTGGATGAGGAGCACCGCCGTGTACCAATAAAGCTTTATTTACAATAGATGGCGGCAGGCAGACTCGGCCCACGGGCCAGAGTTCCCCAACTCCCTGTGCTGGGTCGCGGGACTCCCAAGGAATGACACCAGGCGAGCATGGCACGCAGGTGCCTCTGGGCGTCCCTGCGGTCAGGACAGGCCGGCGGCCGCACTGGCTCCCACCCACCCAGACACAGCGGCGCAGTCTGTGGAGTTAGGGCCACGCGTGAGCCGTGGGTGCAGAACAGGCTGAGAGCACACAGGGCCCAGGCTCGTCTGCAGCCCAGGAGCGAGCCCGTCAGGAAGGGAGGGGACGCTGGAGGCCGTGGAGCTTGCTTCAAGTTGAGGAGGAGCCCCGCGGGCCTGCGTGGGGGTGAGGGCAGCGGAACACCCCAGACGTAGCGGCCTGAAGCAGCATGCCCACGCGTGTGGCTCGCAAGCTGCAGACTGGCAGCTCAGCCGGGCTCCGTGGAGGCTCCGCCGTGCCAGGTGGAGGGGGCTGTGGCTGCCACGGCACCTGCGGGGAGAGGGGGGAGGGGGGCGGTGGCTGCCATGGCACCTGCAGGGGGAGGGGGGAGGGGGACTGTGGTGAGTCTGCACCTGCAGGGGGAGGGGGGAGGGGGGCTGTGGCTGTCTCTGCACCTGCAGGGGGAGGGGGGGGCTGTGGCTGTCTCTGCACCTGCAGGGGGAGGGGGGGGACTGTGGCTGTCTCTGCACCTGCTGGGGGGGGGGGGACTGGCTGTCTCTGCACCTGCCGGGGGTGGGGGGAGGGGGGCTGTCTTTTCTTCCCATTCGCAGTTCTGACCTGAAGTTCCGCTGCACGTGGTAAACACTCGAGGAGCCATGTCTGTCCCCCTGCGTGCTTTGGGGCGTCTGCCGCTTTACTCCCTGGCCCTTGTGGCTCACTGGTGCCCACTGGGCCCCAAGGACGAGTCGCTACGAAGGCAGGGCTGCTGCCTGCTGCCCGGCGGCTCCCGGCCAGGGGGTTTCTCTGACAGAGCACCCACGCCTGTCCGTCAGAATGCAGGCTGACCCACAGTTCCTTCCCCACTCGTGTCTCCCTTCCAGAAAGTTCAGCAGTACACGGTCATCATTCAGGCCACGGACATGGAGGGAAACCTTAACTACGGCCTCTCGAACACGGCCACGGCCATCATCACCGTGGCCGACGTGAACGACAACCCGCCCGAGTTCACCACGAGCACGGTGAGCGCCGCGGCCTGGAGCCTCTGCGGGGGAGGGGCTGAGCCCAGCGGGGGGGGGGGGCACGGCGGGGCGGGGACGCGGGGCCCCAGTCTGGCCCGGTGCTGCCTTGCGAAGTCCCGGGGTTGACAGGCGTTAGGGCTGAAGACCAGCCACTCTCCAAGGTGTGTGTGTGATGTGTGTGCAGCGGCCGCGGCGTGGAGGGGAGCACGGGGCTGGTCAGGGGCAGCCGCTGCCCTGCGTGGCCCCCGTTGGCCGAAAGGGAATCTGGGGCCCCTTGGGATCTGAGAGGCCAAGCGTCCTCAGTGGATATCGGGCGTCTGCTCGGAGGGGGCTGCTGAGCGTCGGCCATGGACCGTGAGCCCCCGGTCCACACCGCCAGAACCCCTGTGCAGGAGGCCCACTGGGGGTCCCCATCCTGTGCTGATCCCAGGGCGCCCAGCAGGCTGTGATGCCCCGCCCACGCGGGCATCCTGGCCCCGCCCCCGCTCCCTGCCCTCAACCCAGCACCTGAGCTGTCCTGGGTGCCAGCCAAGGGCTGGGTCTCCCCTGCTCCTGCCTGGGCCCCTCCTGGGGACCGAGTGGGGGGCCCACCCCAAGCCACAAGCCACTGGCCACCCCCAGCCCTGTGGGGGCAGGACCCAGCGGAGCTCGCACGGAGCCACGCAGACCTGAGAGGCGGCAGCTGGCCCTGGGCCCTGCAGTGAGGCGGGGCTGGGGCGGTCAGCTTGCTGTGAAGGCGCCTGGAGGCCACCGTGTCCCCTCGTCCCCACCTGCCAGGCTTGGCCCCACTGGACCAGGCAGAGGCATGGGCGCACAGCACCATCTAGTGGCCAGATGGGCTGCGGAGGGAGCGGCTCAGACCCCTGCCTCCCAGGGCTCAGGGCAGCAGCGAGCTGGGGGCTCCAAAGCCGACGTTGGGGAGGTGCCCGGATGGTGGGAAGATGCCCCCTCCTCTTTCCGGGGCTTCAGTTTCTGTTTGCTTGGACCAGGCCCAAGGGACTGGACATAGGGGAAGCAGCTGCCACCCCTACACCTGGCCCCAAGACCCCAGTGGGTTTGCCCACACCTGGCTCTCAGGCCCAGCCGCACCCCCGGCTCTGAGAAGGAGCAGTTCCTAACGGGCGTGCCCAGGAGAACCCTCGCAGATGATGAGGGGACACGCGGTGTCCAGGACAGCTCCGGCCTCAGCACAGGACTTCAGGCGGGCACCACCTGCCCTGTGGCACAGCAGGGGACACCCGAGGATACGTCACGGGAAGGACCACGCTGGTCCCTAATCCAGGCGCGGAGCTGCCCCAAGCCGGGCGTCGGTGCATCCGTGGTGTCCAGGGGGCCCAGAGCCTCAGCAATGCAGGGCCTCGGTGGTCCCGGAGGCGCTCGGCTGAGAGGACAATGCCCCCAGGGACACCCTGTCCCACCGCCGCCCGCCGGAGCCCAGGTGATGGGATGCAGCCTGCCGCCCCCACCCCTCTGAAACAGCCTCGTGGTCGCCATGGAAACCAGAGGAGGAGGCCACCAAGCTGAGTGCAGCGGTGGCTTGTCCCAGAGGGGCCGTGAGATGCCAGGGGGGCGAGGCAGAGAGGTGGGGTGTCCTGAGAGAAGCATGCGACGCTCGGAGCCCCCCCACCTGCTCCCACAAACAAGCTCGAGCCTCAGTCTCCCCGTCTGAGAAGGGGTGCGTGTCACCTTTGCTTGCATGGAGGCCCCAGGTGTGGAGAGGGGTCAAGAGCAGCCCAACACAGGCCACACCTCCACCCGGAGGGTGCACCTGCCTCTGCCCCAGAGGGGCCGCCTCCCACCTACCCCAGGACCTGCTGGGCTCCAGCGTGGCATCGGTCAGCGGCCGGCTCCACTCAGGCCCGGGTTCCTGTTGATTCTGCACCCAGAGCTGGCAGCCCTGCCACGCCTGCCCCCAGTGGCCCTGCCACAGCGAGCGTGGCAGCAGCTGTGTGGGGCACACAGTTCCATGGCGGCGTCAGCGTAACGCATGGAGCCCGCCCCTGCCGCCACGTGCTGCAGGACACCACCTGGACCCGTCTCCTGCGCTCAGCGCCTTCATGGACAAGTTTCCATCGCATCATTTCTTCCTCTTGAAGAATCCCGTGGCGCTGTCGCGTGGGTCTCCACGCAGGTGGCAAAGCCCCCAGGAGCTGTGAGGACGCGCCCTGAGGAAGGAGCCACCCTCGCCCAGCCACGGGACCACCCTCGCTGTTCCCCAGGGCCATGGGGCCACTGCCCTCCTCTGTCTTCCCTCGGCCTCCGCCCCCGAGCCCTTCCACCTCCATGGAGTCTCCGCTGCCTGAACTTGGGAGATTTACAAGGAATTTTGAGCTCACAGAGGCATCGCGAGCGCAGGGCCAGCAAGGGGAGCAGCCACGGCCTTGCCACCAGCTCCCTGGCTTGCAGATTGGGCGGCACCCTCGTGTCCAGCGCATGGCCCCACAGGGGCTCCCTCCTCCCTGGCTCGGAGGCCGGCAGAGCCTCCGCGTCACAGCCCCGTTTCTCCATCAGAGACGTCCAAGGTCTCTGCTTCCCCGAGCCCCGCCTGGGCACCAGGTGCCCGCACCACTTCCCAGCCCACGTCCTCGGCCCCCGGCCTCCCCACCCCTGCCGGCCGATCCTCGTCTCTCGGGGTGGACGCCGCCTTCCCTTACACACGGCGGCCACGCGGAAAACCCCTCGCTGCCCCTGAGAAGGCCTGGGGCGCTGCGGGGGGAGAGGATGGAGAAGCTGTCCCCAAGTGCAGGCGCTTCCCACGTGGTCAGCCCGAGACCAGGACGGAGGCCTGCGTTCCGTCCCAGACGACTTTCCGGTGAGGGCCCAGCTTCCCCGGGGCAGCGGCCCCTCCTCAGCCCTGCCAGCCTCAGGCAGCCCCGGGCCCCGGGTCGCAGGGCAGGGAACTACAGAAATGGCCGCCGTTTGACGCGTCGGAGGGTGGCGGCCGGGGCTCCTGCGATGGCCCACGGGAGGCTAGGCGGGGCAGAGCCCAGGCGGGGAGGGTGCTCAGCCGTCCCCGTGCCTGGGCCGTGCGGTCATCAGGGGCGTCCGTGAGGTGCCCCTGGGCAGGCCCCCCTGGAGGCTGGTGCAGGCAGCCCCAGAATACCGTCCATGAAGGACACAGCTCTGAGACCCCTGGGGAGGGGCCCCTCTGCACTGAGGGGCACTGGACACCCGTCCTCGGCCGCCTCGCCTTCCCCCTGCCCAACACCCCCAGGCACGTGCCCACCACAGGCATCGGAGTCAGGGACCCCAGCCCCTGGGAGCCCCTCCTGGTGTGCAGCCCTGCACCCCCCACACCTGTCACTCACCACACCTGTCACTCAGTATGTGGCCCCTCCCAGCCCAGCCCTGCACCCCCCACACCTGTCACTCACCACACCTGTCAGTGTGCAGCCCTGCACCCCCCACACCTGTCACTCACCACACCTGTCACTCAGTGTGCGGCCCTGCACCCCCCACACCTGTCACTCACCACACCTGTCACTCAGTGTGCGGCCCTGCACCCCCCACACCTGTCACTCACCACACCTGTCACTCAGTGTGCGGCCCTGCACCCCCCACACCTGTCACTCACCACACCTGTCACTCAGTGTGCGGCCCTGCACCCCCCACACCTGTCACTCACCACACCTGTCACTCAGTGTGCGGCCCTGCACCCCCCCACACCTGTCACTCACTGTGTGGCTCCTCCCAGCCCAGCCATGCACCCCCCACACCTGTCACCTTCCAAGCCCAGCTTCCCTGTCTGGGGTCAGTGGGTGGGCGTGATGAGGCAGGAAGGCCGAGTGACCTCCCCAGCCCGAGACACGATGGTTAGGTTAAAGTGTTCACAAAGAGGCCGAGAGATCAGTGGTGCCCCCTCCGGTGCCCCGCCCCCATGCCCCAGGTTCTTCTGGAAACTTCTGCGTCTAGAAACCCAGGGCCAAAGCATGCAATGCTGTCCTCAGGAGTGACCAGCCAGGTGGAGATGACCACAGCTGTGGGCTAGCCTTGGAACCTTTCCAGCCACTGCCTGAGCTGGCCCCTCCCCCAGAAAGTGAGCCCGCTCTGGCCAAGCCTCAGCGGCTTCTCAGTTCTGTGCACAAAGCCAGGCAGGAGAGAAACGTCACAGACCACAAGTTCCCGGCGATAAGAATCCGGCGTCTTCCACGGGGAAGGGACTCGGTGCCCCGAGCTGCACTCCGTGGGCAGTGCCGACCTCGGCCAAGGTCAGTGGAGCCACTCTTCTGAGCACCGTGTGACCCTGCGGGGGCCATAGCTCCGCCCACACCTGGCGGCCCATCCACCGCCGGCCAGCCAACGGCCACTCCCAGGGACCAGCCACAGCCACCTGTGTTCCAGAGAGCTGGCCCTGGACAAGGACGAAGTGGACCTAGGACCCCCCCAACCAGAGCACCGTGCAGAGGAAGGCCTGGTCGGGGGAGGGGGAAAACACACGGGAACATCACAGTTCTGTGTCCCCAACCGCTCCCTGGACCCCGTCTGGCAGAGCCGCACTGGAGAGACGGCGGCACCGGGGCCAGGCGCCCGGCTTCAGCCCTGGCTCCGCCACTGACCACCTGCTGGCCCTGGACAGCTTGCAGAGCCGTCCGTGCCTCAGTTTATGGCGTCTTTATTCCCGAAAGCCTGCGGGGGCAGGTGCTCTCCAGAGCATGCAGCCCTGACTGGGCTCAGGGTAAGCTTAGGCGACACCTGTGGGGTGTTAACCACAAAGCCAGAACGAGCGGGGTACGCTTGTCCGGGGGGGCCCTGGCCATACAGATGACGTCCCCGCAAGGCCAGCTCCTGGGGAGACAGAAGTGTGCAGCTGGTCAGAAACAGACGACAGAGAGATGCAGAGGCAGAGGGGTGCCTCGGGTCGGTCAGAGGGGGGAAGCCTGGGTGTTGTCTGCTAGTCAGATGGCGGGGTCCCTTGCCGCGGCCACTCTCCTGATGCATGTGAGCTCACATCCACACGCGTGCTGGGGTGACCGCACCACGCAGGCCTGGCCGCTCGCCGC